CCCCACTCCCTTCTAGAACTGATGCTGTTACCTAGTTGGGTCATGAAACATCTGCAAGAAAACCACCCAGCTCAGAGAGCATTAAGGACCTGGCAGTCCTCCTCCTCCTCTTCCTCCTCCTTTCTGCAAATCCTCCCCTCCCTTCTAAATCACTGATGATGTTACCTAGTTGGGCAATGAAACCTCTTCAAGAAACCCACCCAGCTCAGAGAGCACCCAGGACCCCCACAGTTGTCGTCAGATCCTTTTCCCTTCACCTTTCGGGATTAAAAAATTGGATTAGAAGGTAAAAACTGCCCTTTATGTCAACTTGGAAGAAAGTAAGAAAATATACTACACGTAGTCCTCGGCTTATGACCGGTGATTGAGTCCAAAATTCCCACCGCTAAGCGGGACAGACGTTAAGTGAGTTTTTGCGCCAGTTTACGATTTTTCTTGCCACATTTGTTAAGGGAGTCCCCGCAGTTGATAAGGGACCAACACCGTCGTTAAGTGAATTTGGCTTCCCCCCTTATTGACTTTGCTTGTCAGAGGGCCACAAAAGGGGATCACGTGACACCCCCCGGGACACTGCAAACCGGCATAAGTACGAGTCAGTGGCCAAGCGTTAGAATTTCGATCACGGGACTGCAACGGGCGTTAAGTGTGAAAAAGTCGTAAGTCCCTTTTTTTCCAGCGTCGTTAAGTTCGGTCATTAAGCGAACTACACATACAAAGAAGAGACCATACAAAGAAATCCGTTGTCGTTTGTTCCTGGCCGCATAAGCCCGTTCAATTGCTGGCAGACATTTGGCTGGCTCTTACATTTAACGGTGCTGTTTCGTTTGGGGAAGGAATATATGCCTTTTTTCCCCCCCCCAGCGCATTACGCGCATCTAAAGCAGGGCTTTTCAACCTTTTCACCCATTGTACCACTTTTAGGAAACGGCAACATCCGAGGACCACCAGTCGCCTAGCAAGGTGTCAAAACTTTGATGATCAAAAAACAAAAAACAAAAAAAGGAAAAAAGTGATAAAGTGCAGGTAGTCCTCGACTTACAACAGTTCGCTCAGTGACTCTTCGAAGTTACAATGGCACTGGAAAAAGTGCCCCCCAAGCCACAGCCGAGCAAGACACCTGCCTGCCCGTCTGGCGGTGCTCTTCCTCCTGTCCGAGGTTTTCATTGTTGTGAGCGTTTCTGTTGAGGATTGGCAGCGGGGGTGGGGTGGGGGGGGTGTTTGGTTTTTATTCCCCCCGCCTGCTGGGTGGTTGCAGCAGGTTTTGGTCACTTCACAGGACCCTGGGACACTGACCGTCATAAATATGAATCAGTTGCCAAGCCTCTGAATGTAAATCACAAGACCCTGGAGAGGCTGCAACATTCCAGCTGATTGGCGCTTCTTCTGGGCTCAGCAGAAATGCCAGGATCAGTGCTGCTTTCCAGCTGGAGCCTAGCGCTGATCCTGGTGCTTCCACTGAGCCCTGACAGCCCCGAAGAAACGCCGATCAGCTGGAAAGTGGCACTGATCCTGGCGCTTCCGCTGAGCCCTGACAGCCCTGCAGCCCCAGCCGTCTCTCACTCAGGCTTGTGCGGTGCTGCCACCGGTTCAGCCCATTCCCCTCCCCCGCTACCACTTTTCTAGGATGGTCGCGTACCACCTGCCAGGTGCCAATGTACCACCGGTGGTACCCGTACCACTGGTTGAAAAGCCCTGATCTAGTCCAACCCCCAGCTCAGGCAGGAAACCCTATAGCAGTGGTGGCGAACCTATGGCACGGGTGCCAGAGGCGGCACTCAGAGCCCTCTCTGTGGGCACGCGCATCGTTGCCCCAGTCCTAGGCCTTCAGCTGGGTTCCATAAAACCTTTTCGCTTTAGGCCTCCGCCGCCATGTGCAAAAAAAAAAAAAAAAAGGTTCAATCAGTCAATTTCAACTTCTCGCAGGAAAAAAAAAGTTCTTGCAAAGTTGGAATTGATTGATTGAACTTTTTAGTCCCACCCCGTCTGCCGTTATCCCTGCAGCCANTTATTTTATTTTATTTTATTTTATTTTATTTTATTATTTTATTTATTTTATTTTTTTGTGCGAGGAAACCAAAGGAGAAGGGAGAAAAGCTCAAGGCTATGGAACTACCAAGGATTATTTCCTTCCTGACCTTTTGGGCCCAGCCGAGTTAAGATTTATTGTTCAGGGATCTCCAGGAATTTATGATAAACGAGAGTTTGCTTTCCGTTTTCAAGGAAACGGTGCCCAGGATTTGAGCACAGTTCATCTTAGAAGGTTATTTACAGTCGGCTTAGACATGATGGCTAAAGACTTTTTTTTTTACAGTTTTGAAGGCGTCTTCAGAGGCTTCAACAGGCTGGCATGGCGTGGGAGAGGAGACACGGAAGGCTCCGGAGAAAAAAAGATGAATAAATCTTTAATTCTGGCTTACGACATGGGGGAGGAAGGAATAATCACTCAAGACATTAGGTAGATTTTCCTTTAAACCATGGTTATGCAGCCCTTGGGTCACCATACTGAGCGAAGGGGAATTGCCTTGGGCCGCATATAAAATGCATAATAAAAGTCCATGGGTATAAATTGCAAGCTTCCTTCCTTTTTTAAATGTTTTGTTATCCTATTGATTTCTATCCCAGGTTTATTTGTACAAATAACTCAAGGCGGGGAACATATCGGAAACACCTTTCTCTATGTTATTTTCCCCACAACATCCCTGTGAGGTGGACTGGGCTGAGAGGCCGAAAGACTGCCCAAAACGCACCTAGTTGGCTTTTGGGCCTAAAATGGGATTAGAACTCACCATCTCCTGGTGATTGGCCCAAAGTCACCCAGCCGGCTTTCATACCTACGGCAGGACTAGAACTCACTGTCTCGAGGTGATTGGCCCAATGTTAACCAGCCACATTTCATTCTTAAGGCGGGACTAGAATTCTCGGTCTCCTGGTGATTGGCCCAAAGTCACCCAGCTGGCTTTCATGCCTAAGGCGGGACTAGAACTCACTGTCTCCTGGTGATTGGCCCAAAGTCACCCAGCTGGCTTTCATTCCTAAGGCAGAACTAGAACTCACCATCTCCTGGTGATTAGCTCAAAGTCACCCACCCGGCTTTCATGCCTAAGGCAGGACTAGAACTCACGGTCTCCTGGTGATTGGCCCAAAGTCAACTGGTTGGCTTTCATTCCTAAGGCAGGACTAGAACTCACCATCCCCTGGTGATTGGCCCAAAGTCATCCAGCCGGCTTTCATGCCTAAGGCAGGACTAGAATTCACCATCCCCTGGTGACTGGCCCAAAGTCATCCAGCCAGCTTTCATGCTTATGGGCAGGACTAGAACTCACCGTCTCCTGGTGATTGTCCCAAAGTCACCCAGCTGTCTTTCCTTCCTAAGGCGGGACTAGAACTCACCATCTCCCACTCTTGTGGGGCAACAATACTAGCTGTTCAGCTTTGCGAATGCCCCCGAGGTGGCGGGTTGGGCCCGCCTGATTTAAAGCAAACAAACTGGGATGGCATTAAAAGAAGGCCTGACGTTAATTCTCCCAGGTATAAACGGATCTGTTCCTCCTCTTGAACTGAGCACCGACAGGAAAGATTGATTGACTGCTGCCCTCGTCTGGCGGTCTGATTTGGAAAAAGGCCCAGATTGACGCCTCTCACCGCGGGGACTCAAAACAGCCGGCATTTCCGCAGGCTGGATAGACAGCCAGGTAGAAGAGGCACAAAAACCCCCCACAAAAAACCCACAAAGCATTGACGCTGCCCCTGAAGCTCTTTTTCATATGTTATCTGGGCTCTATTTTCGTATCTACAGGGACTCCCCGGCTTACGACTGTCCATTTAGGGACCGTTTGAAAGTCACGACGGCACTGAAAAAGAGAGTTAGGATCGTGTTTCACTCGCGACAATTCTCTCTGCACCCCTGTGGTCATGCGATCAAAATTCAGATGCTCGGCAGCCGACTCGTAGTTATGACGGTCGCAGTGTCCCGGGAGAGGGGGGGCACGCGATCCCCTTTTGCGACCTTGTAACCAGCAAAGTCGATGGGGAAAGCCAGATTCGCTTAACGACCGGAAGGATCCCCTTAACAACGGTGGCCAGAAAGGTGGTAAAACGGGACGAAGCTCGCTTCGCCGCTGTCTCGCTTAATGACAGAACGGCTGGACTGGATGGTGGTCGTAAATTGAGGACTGCCTATAATGGGGTGTCGCCTCATCAACGGAAGGAAGGGACAGGAACTCAAGCAGAGCCACGTCAGAAAAACCTCAATCGGGGTCTCTTCCGTCGTCTCCCAAATGGATTACAGGCAGTCCCCGACTTACGACAGTTTGCTTAGTGACCGTTCATAGTTACGACCGTGTTTCACACTCACAATCTTTATGGCGTCCCCAGGATCACGTGATCGAAATTCAAACGCTTGGCAACTGATTCATATTTATTTGCTGTGTCCCAAAGTCACGCGATCCCCTCTGACGACCAGATTCCACTTAACGACCGGGTTGCTAGCTTGTCAACTGCAGGAAATTGGCTTAAACGACGGTGGCCAGAAAAGTCGTAAAGTGGGGCAAAACTCACTCAACCAATATGTCTCCCTTGCCAACGGAAGTATTGGGCTCAACTGTGGTCATTAAGCCGAGGACTGCCTGTAATTGATTTCGCCTTTTTATAGAGAAGGGAAGAAATCTCCCACGCAAGGAAGGGAAAGTCAAGCAAAGCCACACCAGAACCATTTCCTGCCTGAGCAGGGGGCTGGACTAGATGACCTCCAAGGTCCCTTCCAACTTTATTATTATTATAACTTCCTTTGCTGTCTCTTCCATTTTCCCCCAATTGGACCAAATGTCAATGGAGATTCTCCGTCATCCAGGTCATAGTTATCCCAAAGATGCTTTTTTTAGGAGGAAGCTGGACTTTCCTGTTTTCCTTTGAAGGTGTTTCGCTTCTCCTCCAAGAAGCTTCTTCAGCTCTGACTGGATGGTGGGAAATGGAAGGATTTATACTCCTTGCAGACTGCTGGTCATTTGCCTCCTTTTAGAGAGTCCTTGAGGCTGCTTGGAGGTTTACCTGCATCCTCGGGGTCACCTGAGTGGTGCACATGGGTGTGGAGCCTTCTTGGAACTGCTGAAAGGGTTGTGTTGTAGATGGGAGAAGGGGTGTGTGTGTCGTATCCCTCCCCCTCTACTGAAAGGCCTCAACAACTCTCTAAAACAGGGGTCTTCAAACTTGGCCCTTTTATGACTGGTGGACTTCAACTCCCAGAATTGCTGGCTGAGGAATTCTGGGAGTTGAAATCCACTCCGCTTAAAGTCTATATCAGGGGTCTTCAAACTCGGCCCTTTTATGACTGGTGGACTTCAACTCCCAGAATTCCTCAGCCAGGCACGCTGGCTGAGGAATTCTGGGAGTTGAAATCCACTCCGCTTAAAGTCTATATCAGTGGTCTTCAAACGTGGCCCTTTTATGACTCGTGGACTTCAACTCCCAGAATTCCTCAGCCAGGCACGCTGGCTGAGGAATTCTGGGAGTTGAAGTCCACTCCGCTTAAAGTCTATATCAGGGGTCTTCAAACTTGGCCCTTTTATGACTGGTGGACTTCAACTCCCAGAATTCCTCAGATAGGCACGCTGGCTGAGGAATTCTGGGAGTTGAAGTCCACAAGTCATCAAAGGGCCAAGTTTGAAGACCCCTGCTCTAAAAGAAGGCAAATGACCAGCTGTCTGCAAGGAGTATAAATCCTTCCATTTCCCCACCATCCAGTCAGAGCGGAAGAAGCTCCCTGGATAAGAAGCGAAACGTCTTCAAAAGAAAAACAAGAAAGTCCACTTGCCTCCTGAATTAAGCATCTTTGGGACCCCAAATGGATTGTAACCAGCCTAGTGTAGTAGCCTTTGCTTTTATTCCATTTTTATCAGTGGGGATTTAATCCCAGGCCGACGTGGGCACCTACCTATATCGTAGGCCATGAAGTCTGAAGAGAAGCATTTCGCCCCCTGACTCATGGAGGTGTCGTTGTGGGTGTTGCCTCCGAAAACCAACATGGTCCCGCTGATGATCAAGGCCGAATGGAGATAGCGGGAGAATCTGCTCTCTTTCAAAATAGTCCTGGAGAATAAAAGAAAAGAAACAGGCCTTCAAAATCCATCTCTGCCTCGCTCTTCTCGGCTGTGCCCTGAACTAAAAAATAAAATAAAATACCCAAATAATACCCATCTGGGGGAGATTGCAGCGAAGGGTCAGAAAAGCCAAAATGGAAGAAGAACAGAAAAAAAAATGCAATTGAATCACGGACTCACCGACTCCTAATAAAGGGAGTTAAAATTCCGAGGAGAGATGCCTTTATTGGATATTATTTCCCCTTAAATCTTTCTGCGATGTTTTCCTCCCGGTTGTGGTGGGAGAAAATTGCCGGTAATTTCCAAACCCCGCAAGAGAAAACCAATTGGGGGGAGCAGTTTGTAGGGAACTCTGGGACAGACTTTGGGGTGCTCCTACCTGCCTTCTCTCTCCTTTATATTCCCCTTTCTCGATAAAATAAGATAACCTTTATTGTCATTTTTATACTGTGGGCACAACGGCACACATCAAAAATGAAATTTAGTTGCCCGCCGCTCTCAAAGTGAAACACATACATGACACAAACCTAAACATACTATGGACAACATATGTATAAACCCACATCCCTACATATACGTAGCAAATAAATCTATATAAATAAAAATGTAAATGTTCGTTTGTTCAAAATCTTAAATCTCCGAACGTTCTTCACCGATTGCTTTGAAATTTTGACACAACGTTGCATTCGAATACGCACAGTGTTTTTATATACCTACTATTATATAGATGTCACACCTGTGACAGGTAAAAACATGCTTTTTTTGAAAAACAGCGCCATCTGTTGGACGTAAAAGCAACACATGCTACGATTTTACCATTCCATTTCAATGTTTCCGATTTACCATCCATTTATGATTTCCAATTTTACGATTCCATTTCAATGTTTCCGATTGCATTGTTAAATTGAATTTTCATAGATTTCGATTTATTTTCATTTTGATTTAATTATTTCGTGTGACATTGCGTTGGAATTGATGCACAGACAATGGAACAACAAAAAATATTGTATACCCACAAGCATTGTGAAATTAAACATATTAGAAACGTGCGCTT